GTCGTCTTCTTTAAATGGAAATAATCATTTTCTTAATAATAAATTATATTTTTTCGATTTCTTTTTTTTAATGATAAATTCTTGTAGCTTTGGTATTAAATAACTAACTTATTTTATTATTTTATTTCTTCGTTTGTGGAACTTGATGTAAATGATAAAGTATCAGATAATGAATTTGAGACACTTGTTATTGATTGAGTAGTTGTACTACTTGTTTTAATAGAATTAGAACTTGTTTGGCTTAGGCTATTTAAATCTATTTGATTATTTGCCTTTTTATATTTTGTACTTGAACTTTTACTTTGAGAAGATGTCTGTTCAGTTTTTTCTTCTATTTTTAATAGTGTTTTTGGAGATTTTATTTCTTGTGTCTTCAATATCGGCAATATTTGTTGACCATCATTGGCTGGTTTTTTGGGGGTTTTTGGCTCTGAGAGTATTTCTTCAACTTCTGCACCTATAAATGATTGGCGTTTCCTAAGTGTTGGGGTATGACCACTAGAACGAGGGCTATCGTTTGTACGACAACGATTAGTTAATGTTCCACTCCTTTGGGTTTTATTTGGGGATGATACCATTCCTCCAGAAGGAGATGATGTTTTCATTCTTGAAGGAATTATAGAACGTTTTAACTTAGGTTTATCGTTACTTAAATTGAGTTTTGATTGAGTCTTGTTGATATGGTTTAAAGTAGACATTCTTTCCAGTTTAGCATTTTTAGAGACATCCATTCCTGTAATTACCTTCAATTCCAAAGAAATTTCTCTAAAATCAGGTCGGTTGTCTGGTATTTGACTCCAACATGCGGTTATTAACTTCTTCACAGGACACTCATCAGAAATATTTGGTCTTTTATTGGCACAAATAAATTTTAGAATAGACTCAGTATCTGGGAATGAATCACGAGGATATGGACTTTTTCTTAAATACACTTCTAACATACAAATGGCAAAAGAAAATACATCAGACTTGAATGTAATTTGGTTACTCTGATGAATCTCTGGTGCCATGTACATTGGTGTTCCAATGTCTTTAATATTTAATTTGTCGGATGAACTAGCATAAACACCAGAAGTACCAAAGTCAGTAACTTTAGCACATACAGAATCAGAGACATTTGTTGAGTAAATTAATACATTATCTGGCTTTAAGTCTCTATGAATAATATCATTTTGGTGCAGATAGAACATGCCTTGTGCAATATCGTACATACACCTTAACTTGAAGTCTAATGACATTTCATTTGCTGGGTTTTTCATAAATGATCTTAATGATCCATATTCACAAAATTCAGTAACTAAACAAAGTTTATCTGGTGTGATAACACTTCCAATAAAATTAATTATAAACTGACTTCTAATACTTTCCATAATATTTGCTTCTTGAATAAAGTGAGGTAATAATCTATTATAATCAACAATATCAGTTTTCATAATTTTGACTGCAACATCTACTTTTCTCCACTCTGCTTTATAAACAATACCATATGTTCCTTCTCCAATTGCTGGATGAATAAGGTTCAATTCATCAAGATCCAATTTTGTGCTTAAAGATGATTCAAACTTTAATTGTAATGAACAATAATACTTACTCATTTTAGTTTTATTTTTCTTTCTATTACTTAATGCTTTAGAACCCCTTGAATCTAAACTAGTAGTTTCATCCTGATAAATCGAGTCTGGTTTCTTTCTTGATGATGAAGTTGATCTATCATCATGAGACGATGACTCTTTAGAAATTCCAGACTGTTCTTTTTGATTCAAATCCATTAAAATAGCATGTAATTTACCATATCTAAATGTAATAAAAATATTATCATCAACTTTAGTCGTACATTTAGCACAAACTAATACATTAATCTTTATACTTTGACCTGGCTTAACTGATTGTGTAACTGGTTGGAATCTAATTGAATACTTGTATGTGTCAACCCCATGACAAGTAAAGTGAAGAGTTTTAGGAGCTTTATTTGTTAATAAGAAAGAAGTCTCTACCATTTTACCAACTTCAATATAATTGTCTTCATTTTCATCTAATTTAATAGATGTTTCGCTTAATTCAAATAGCGCATTTGGTAAAGTAAGATCAATCTTTTTAGCATCACTTGGATCAAAAGGAATAATACTTGTCTCAAAAAATGGTAATAGTCTATCAAGTGTCTCACGTTCTGCTAAAATAACTTTATCCAATTTTCTTTCACAAATCCAAGAGAAGAACAATATTAATAAATATAAAACAATATCAGTAACAACAAAACATCCTATAGCTAATCCAATATACATCCATTTTGATAATTTTTTACAATGAGTCGATTTTCCTCGTTTATACCATTTACTTTGACATTCACATTCAAAACAACCATCTCCTCCATCACATTCTTCCGTTTCATCAATTATCCCGTTACCACACCTATTATCTAAACATGATAACCGTGGAATAGAATATGGTAAATATTGAGGAGAACATAAACAATCTTTACACCCATTTCCTCCATCACATTCTTCTCCTTGATCAATTTGACCATTTCCACATAAAAGAGGAATACAAATCCCGTCCTGAGCTTTAAATCCAGCATCACAAGTACAAGTAACATTGTTACAACCTTTACTATCTTTAAACGAAACATCACATTCTTCATTTTCATCTAATACATTATTCCCACATGTTTCACATGAAATTCCATTACAAAGACATCCCCCCTTTGTTAAACTACAAAATCCTTTGCACTGACTACATACCATTTTGATATTAAAATTAATAAATAAATTATCATCATGGAATGTAAAAAAGAAAAAATATCGTTTTTCAGGACTTAATTTTAAAATGATAGCATTACCTTTCTTTGTTGTTGATACAATAGCCTCACATTTTGCATTATCTGAAATACAAGAATTCTCTATTATTGGAACTGAAATAACATGTAAAACCATTGGTGTTCCTGATATAAGAATTGAATGATCTGTTCCATCAAGACTAAACCAATTCCCATTTCTAGTCTCAGCAGTACATGGATTTTTTGTTAATGAACCAGTTGCTTCTTTAGTAGTTAATGAAAAACCATTTGTGTTAATAATATCATTCCATTGAACACTATATGGAAATGCTACACATGGATGAACTATTTCTTTTACTATAAGAGTAAAAGTATCAAGTGGTGACCCATAATACCCATGGACAAGTAAATAATAATCTTTATCAGCTTCAGCATAAAATGAAATACGAGAAGATGATACATAATCTATAACATCATCATTTTTATGAATACACACACCTTTACTATCTTGAAGAATCAACGCAGTATCAGTACCAATCCAAACTTTTTGTTTAGAAAGAAAGTTAAGTTCTCTCCAAGAATAGTCATTGTCAGTTGATATTGAATAATATCCATTTTTTGTTGATGTAAATTTAAACCAAACACCTGGAAATGACTTTGCAGATGGATCTAAATATGTTGTACAAGCAGAAAATGTTGGTTCAACACCATCTGGATTAATAATATATTGACTAGTTTTTAATTCATATATAAAAGAATGTTTTTGAAGAAATGATTCTGGAGTATATATAATATCAGGGTCTTTGGAACAATTAAGAAAACCTCGTGGAGAATAACCTTCAAGACAACCAGTACAATCATCTCTATATCCTTTTGTTATATCACATGATGAACAATCATCAGGAAACCTACATCCAGAAATACATCCTTGTATTTCACAAACTGGTAAACATACGTTAGTACAATTTTCAATACAACCTTCTTCTGCTGGTGGTGCATAGTAATTAAGCTCACACCTACAATCAGCAGTACAATGTTCTACAGAATCACACTCTTCTTCAAAACGATGTCTTTTTCCATTACCACAAACACCTTTTTGGTCAATTTCATCAAAATTAACAGTTATTTGTGCATTAGTAGTAGAGTGAATAAAGAGTAAGAGTGTTACTATTAATATCATACAACAATCTATCTTTCTGAAGAGTTTAAAAATTTTTTTGCTTTCTATCAATAATTACAAATAAAAACAACACATCAAAACACCGAAAAAAAATCTCGTTTGAAAAATGATATATAAAAAAATCACATTTTTTTTAGTAGAATAAATCATTTCTATTCTTTTTTTTTTCATTTATCAAATGGATAGGAAAAATAAATAGAAAAGAAAAGGTATAATATTTTTGTGACAAAAATTAAATTCCTAAAAATAACAAGAGAAAAAATAAATAAGTAATAGTTCATTTCCTTTTATTTTTTATCAACTGACAAATGTCAGGAGTATATATTATTCTATTCAATTAATTCCCTTTCATTTTTACATCGATTTTATATTTAATAAACAAACATTATATTAGAACAGAAGAATGGATCATTTATATCATAATCTACATTTGCAATAACTGGTCCTGTTAAAGTATTATTACATTGGTAATTTACTTGTAAATGATATGTCTCACAATCTGGAATTGAATCTTTTAAGGTATAAGATAACATTATTTGAGTATTATTATAACTAATCACTTCACTAAAAAGGTCGTTTAATTCAATTTCTTTTCTTCCAACCATCAATACACTACTTGTTGGATGATTTTCTATTGGTCCACATAAATTAACATAAATAGAAGTAGTGATATTATTAACTTTATATAATTTGTATGACACTACCCCTCTTTTTTCACCTTGTATTGATTTCATACAATAATAACCATTAACATAACTAAACAATAAACATATTGGCAATAGCCACATTACAATTGAATGATTTTTTTCAGTGATTACTCAAAAAAAGGAAAACTTTTATATTATTCGTCTCAATTCAATTAATGACTTTCTTTCTTGAATTATCAACAATGATTTTAAATTTTATTAATCAATAATCAATCTGATTAGTAATTATTAATATATTAATGCATAATTTACATGCAATACATACCCTTGCATCAAGCATCGTTGTAATGCATGATAATGCCATTACACTACCAACTTCTTTTTCAAATATTTCTTTTAATTCTTCAAAATTAAATATTTCACTATTACAATACCGTGGATTTTTACAAATATTACTAATAAATTTCATTACTGTTTGAGGATGTTCTGATAAATAATTTATATCTGGAAATACATCTGCAAGCAACAATGATTCTCCTGTTTCCATTCCATCATCTAATAGTGCATGAACAGAAAGCATAAGCACAGCTCTTCTTTCTTCATCTGAATGATTATTCCACCAAATTAAAGCAGTTTTCATTTCTTCTTTAATAGCTTCCTTTAACATTTCATGTAATCTTATTCCTTCGTTATTCCATTCTTCAGTAATTTTTTTCATTTCACTTTTTTGCAATAATTCACAAAGTTCTTTAACATTTCTTTTATTCTCTTTAATCTCTTGCATTTCTTGTAATATTTTTTCATTTTCATTTTCAATGTTACTTTGATCTATTTCCATTTCTTCCTCTTTAATTTCCATTTTCTCTTGAGATTCTTGTTCATTATAACACTCTTGTTGTTTTATTTGGTGAATATATTGTTGAACATCTTCATAACTATTGATTTCATTCATTTTTGTTAATTTTTTAATTATTAGAACCTTTTCTTTTTTATTTTTTTTTAGTTTTATTGAAAGAATAACAAAATGGATGGAAAATTATTAATTTAATCAACTTCAGCTTGTACCATTTCCATTTGTTGAGTATCTAAATTATCTAATTGCTTTTGAAGTTCTTTGTCTGTAATAAATCTGAATGGAGTATCTTTTCCAACAATTGCTACACTACAATTTAAAACAGAAAGTTTATCATTAGTAGTTGTTAATGATTCTCTTAATGCTAAGATAGCTTGTTTGATTAGTTGTTCTTCATCTAACTCTTTAAATGATTCAAAATGTTTTTCAAGATATGTTCTGCATGACTGTGACCTTGCTCCAATAGCTTGTGCTTTATAACCATAATAAAGCCCACTTGGTGATGTTTCAAATAATCGAGGTTTAGTGTCATATCCTATAACCAATAGACCAACTCCATATGGTCTTAATCCATACTTTTGAGTATTAACTTGTGCATTATCAGAAACATGTTTAACAAGTTTTTCTACTGGATGTGGTGTTCCATATACATACGAATAATCAATACACTCACTTCTCATTTGACTTGTAATCACTCGTGCATCAGCACAAAATCCACTAATTGCAACTCCAATATGGTCATCAATTTCAAATATTTTCTTTTGGTATGCACCTAATTCATCAGTTTGTCTATTAAATGTTGCAACAACAGCATGTGTTTTTGATTTGACACCAACAACAGCAGAACCTTGTTTAACAGCTTCTGTTGCATATTCAATTTGGAATAACCTTCCTTGAGGACTCCATGTAATATTATCAGAATCATATTGATTACGGAACATCTTAATTTATCAATTTAAGTTCATTTTTTCTTTTTTTATTTTCTTTCTTCTTTTGAAGTTTTTAAATTTCTTTTTTTTATTTAACTTATGGCATATATAACACAAATATAGTGAATTATTCAAAATGAGAATTATAAATTGGAAGAACTTCTCTAGGAATATCTGGTGCATCTTGCTCAAACCAACGTAAAAAAGCATTAAAAATATTGTTTCTTGTATATATAGTTAATATGTAATTATGATAAAGTTTGAATAAAAGAAATGCGACAATACATCCAATATAAATGTCAACAAAATAATGAAGATGCGTTACACAAAATAATAAAATCCCTCCAATACAAATAATCCATCCAATAGCCTTTGTGATTGTAAAACGTAATGGATATCCTGTTGGAGAGTTAATTGGCCAAGAACTTAAACAATCTAATTTAAATATTGGAGCAGAGTCTGAATATTGATACCACATACATGCACAAAGTACAATATTTGCTGTATGTCCACTAAACATACAGTCATATGATGTTTTATGAATTCCAAACATAATTAAAAATCCTTCAATAAAAGGATTATATTTAACATTACTTGTACTTAAAGAAGGGTCTGGCATAATTGTAAAAAATATTGAGAATGATCTAATAAGGAATATTGTTCCTTGTAAGAAAAAGTATCTTCTTATAACACATGATCGATACGGTGTTAATAGAAAGCGAATATTAGTAAAAATAACAAAAATTCCTATATAAATATCACAAACCCATGACTGTTTAAAATATGGTAATACTTTAAAAAAGAAATCAGGTAATACAAGACGTCTTGGTACTTCAGGATGCATCATTAACCATTGTGTATATCTTTCTTGTGTAAGAACTTGAAATACTGAATTCCAATACCCACACAACGCCATCCAAAAGACTCCAAAAAGTACAGGTAAATATCTTTTCCATGTCTTTGGTAATTTTATTGTATCAATAATATCTTTAGTTGTGTCTATAATACTATATACTCCTCTTGGCTCATATATACAATAAGGATATTGTATTTGAAGATAATTCATATAAACTAATTTTATTTGACTTTCAAGTTCTTCTTCTTTTTTTTTCATTTAACATATATCTTTTCATTGCTTTAATATTACTTGTTAAAATAATAAGTCTATTATTTCTTCTGTTCTTGTTATTCTTTGTTGTTCAAAAACAATCATTAATTCTATGTTACAACCCATCACTTCTTTGTTTTCATAAAAAAAATCTCATGAATAACGAAAATAAAAACCAAAAAATAATTAAAAAAAAACTTAATAAAAAGAAAACTTAATATAACGTTTAATGAAAATATTAAGAAGTATTGTTGTATCAGTAAGAAGTTGTATTGAAGGATCACGAGTTTTGTTTTGTTATAATTCAGAAAATGAACCATTTAATAAATTTACTTTAGCTGGAAATTTAGAACAACCTGCATTAGACCCTAGAAATATTAAATATTATCATGAAGCAGAAGCCTCTATAGTTGATTTCGGATCATTACTAGTTCCAAGAAGAATGAAAGAAGGACCATTTATTTTTTCTGTTGATAGACATACATTAGTTGGATATTTAAAAGAATTTCCAGAAGATGATGATGAAGAGAAGTTTGTATTATTTTTTTATAAAAAAACTTAAACAAAAATTTATTTCATAGTGAATTTACTTTAATAAATGTTGTTTTCTTTCTTCAAAAAGATTTTTATGTTCCAGCAGTTATTGATGGATTTGTTACAGCATCAAGGACAATATCAAATAGTTTAATTTTTGAAGAAACAAGAAATAGATATGTGTCTAAAGAAGTAAGAAAAATATTTAATGTTCGTGAAAAATTCTGTAGAGAGAATTCTAAAAGAGAAACGCCATTGACATATAAAGATTTAATATCAGAAATCATTTTAAAATCTAATCTTGCTGCATCAATACAAGATATTTTCATTGACTTAAAAACTAAAGGTGTTGCTCACTCAAAAATAAATAGTAAATACCTTTTACCTATTTCATTAAATAATTATGAAAATATTTTCTCAGAACAACTTCAACCATATCATGCTTTATTCTTATTTAAAAACCCAGAAGAATGGATTAATAATTTAATTGAAAGTGATGAACTTATTTTACTAACGGAACAATTTACACATATTAGAAGTAAAGAATTTATTAATCAAGTTAAAACAATTCTTCAAACAGCAACACCAATGAATAGTTTCCAATACCTTTCTATGGTAACAAATATATCACTTGAAACTGTGTATCATATTGCACGTTATTTAGTGTATTGGGGAAAAGCGAAAATTATTGAAGCAATTCAATTAGATGATATTTATGTAATGTCCAAAATACGTTCTCCATTATTAAATGCAAAAGGAGTATCATATGCATCATCTAAAATGAATTATCAAACAGTAGAAATAAGACCATCTGTATTATTTAATAAATATGAAGAAGAATGTCCATGGAAAGATATAGGTAAGTTATTATCTTATTTTGAAGAAAAGAAATCATTAGATAATATAATTGAAAATATTCCTGAAGGTGAGTATGATGCATTTACAGATTCTGTTGCATGGCTTATTTCATTTGGAATTTTAAATCGAATTAAAACTTACATTCTGTGTATAGTACCTTCTTTTATTGAAGAAATAAAAAGTAAATTACAACCAACAATAATAGAACAACACCTTATTAAAATTTCTAAATATTTAACAGGACGTGTTGACTTAAAAGAAATGGGGATTAAGGCGAATGTGTCAAGAGAAGATATAGAACAAATAATGACCACATACCCAAACCAACTTATTTATTTATCTTATGAATAAAAAGAAAAACAATTAAATTGATTTATCATTATTTATTTGGTTTCTTTATTAATTTATTTTATCTTTGCCATTACTTTCTCATAAAAGTTCAACCATTCAGTATTGTAAGCAACAATAATTAATGAAAAACAAAACCAATTAAATTCAATCAGTTTTAACTTCTGCTTCCTTTTTTGCCTTTGCAGCAGCACGAGCAGCTTTTAAACCTCTTGAAGCGCTTTCCTTTTTAGCTTGAGCAGCAATTTCCATTTCTTCTTTACTCTTTTTATAAGAGTCAAAGAATGGTTGCTTTTCTTCTTTACTCATAGCTCTCCAAACTTCACCAAGTTTAGCATTAATCTTTTCTCCATCTTTAAGAGTAGCAGCAATCTCTTCTCTTTTTGCTTGAGTAAAAAGAATATAAGCACTTAATGGCTTCTTAGCTTTTTTAGTTGTCTTTGGCTTCTTAACAACTCTTCTTGGTTTTTTAGTATTTGTTTTTTTCTTACTCATTTTCTTTTCTACTTTATCTTTGGTTTCGGAAGTTTCTTTTTTAGTTTCTTTCTTAGTGCCAGGCATGTTGGGATAACAACAGTTTAATAATAAGAGTTCATTAGAGATGTCTTTTTATATCATTTCTCTTCCTCTTCTTTTCAACTATTTTTGATAGTTTCTGATTCTATTCTTTTTATTATTAGTTCGTTTTTCTCTTTTCTTTCTATGAAATCATGTCAAAGGGTTGCTCCAATCCTTCGCTCCTAATGAAAAACCCTAAACATTAAGCTTATTCCCTTTTCTATAGAATCACACTTTCTAGTACTTTAGACATTTTCAACCAGTGCTCTTGTTGATTTTTATATATTCACTTTTTATAAGTTCTTATTGTCTTCTTTTATTTCAGATTCCTCTTATTGGTTTTATTAATTAATATATTCAATACATTTTATATTTCAAGTCTATTATTTTCTAATATTACATTTGACTGTTATACTGTTCATTAATAATAATTTATGATGGTTTAAAATTGTACTTGGAGTTACATTCAAATAAAAATTATTAAATTTTATTACTCCCTTTTTATTAAACTTTCTTCTTTTTTCTTTTATTTTAATTCCTTTTAATTTGTTTTACATAACAAATAAAAATAAAATATAAACGTCACCTTACTTAAATTAACCACTTTTATTAAGCACCTTT